TGCACATTCCGTGTCAATACTCATGTTGGTTTTCGACTAATATCAAGCGCAACGTTCACGCGCGGCACACTTTTGGCGGATCGATCGCGTGAGTGCGAGAGCGAGACTCGAATGAGTCGCGTTTCAGTCAATTCCGCTTGGCTGTGATTAGGCCACGGCCAACACACAAACGACGGCAAATTATTGTCGTACGCGCGATAATTGAGCACGGCCACCTAATAAACCGCATTCGGATCGCCGACTCTTCGCGGACGGCTTCGGGTCGAGGCAATTACATCGGCGACTACCGCCGGGCAACGCCACACACCGTGCCGTGTGCACTGCGGAAACGGCGCATCAGCCGGTTTGCAGTAACCGGTATACAACGTTTACGGCAGAAATTAATGCTGAACTCGAATGGACCCGTAGCCGCGACGCGGACAGGAAGTAATTGCGTCCCACAGCCGCGGCTAAGCCGGAAGTTCATTCGATAATAATCGCGGGTTCTCGCGACGAACTGTTATTGCTCAAGTTAATTTATGGATCGGCAAGACGCGTTTAAAGCTTTATTGGAGGAACTTCGTTGCTTCGACGTTACGTTACTTACCCGATGAGCGTCCGAGGGAATGAGGGTCGAATACGCGCCCGAACTTCAAACTTTGCGATAAGTTAATAACGCGGTGTACGCAAGATCGTGTGCTTTATATTAACGTTCCTGTATAAGATTTTATATAAGATATATGTCGCTGGTATATACACAAACGACTTTTGGTTTTCCGTCTACTTGTGAAAATTCCAACGTAAATACGCGAGATTTACACTCGCCACTATTGTGACAATTGTTTTGCGATCGTATAAACATGATTTCGCGAAATATCAGACACGTTCGCCACGCGTCGCTAAAGCAGCGCGAAAACTTGTCCAATCTCCCGTTAGTCGATGGCATAGGTGGAGACGTTTCTTCAAAGTAAAGAGCTCGCTCGTTGCTCGACGGAAATATTGACGCAACATGACGACGTGAAGAAAAAGAAAGAGAAGAAGAGAGAGAGAGAGAGAGCAAGAATTCATGCGGGATAGTCGGATCGCAATCGCGCGTCGCGGTTTATCGACAACTTGTTCATTCGCGTCGCAAACCCAGGCCTGCCTTTAACCGAGAAACTTTGCGGGAAACACGAGGGACAAGTTTTTCGCGACGAGAAAACGCGGTGTTTCTCAGAAAGAAAATTCCGCGTGCAGATGCTTTTCCTCTCTCGCTATACGCTTAACAAGCCGAATCGCGCGAGGAGACTTGTTTCGAATACCTTTCTTTTTTCCCGACGTCGCAGAAAAATCGCATGCCAGAACGAAAAATTCCAGACCGCTCCGCGGCAACCAACCAACGTTAAACACATCGATGCTAGACGCAAGTAGTCACGGACGCTAGTGGTCAGACACGCGCGGAGCGCGCGCTGCAAGTTTGCCGAACATCTGTGCGAAAATGTCGAATCGTCGTTATTTGTTTCTTTGTAGTTTCTTTCCCTCGGTTTCTTGCGGTATGCTCGGTGTGCTCACAATTTCGCGCAGATAAAACCGCGCGGCTAACCCGAACAGCTTCCGAAGAAAAAGTTGGAAGCGTGCAAGGCAAGAAAATTCGCATGGGAGACGCTTAGAAAAACTTGGCAAAAAGAATCTAATATGACGTTTCTTTTTTTCGCGACGATCTGTTGGACGATCGGTGGTACACAAATCGTTCGAAATGTCCGCTATGTAATATAATTAACGAAAGAAGTTTTCAAAGATACATGTGTCTCGATTTTATTTATAGAAAAACAAATAACTTTTTTCTTTTTTTTTTTTTTTTATTGCGTAGCCAAGTATTAAACCGTAAACGTTTCACTTCGCGCGCACCGCGGACGATACGTTGAATGCATTGTATCGCGATAGTGACTTCCATTTTCGATCGGTTCGCCGTCGATTCTCAATATCGCTGCATGGACGGCTTAATGAAATTTTCGAGGGTTTCGACTCTGCCATAAATTTCTATCGCCGACAGCGATCTCGTTCGCTGATACACAAAACCAGACAAAATCGACGCGGACTCGAGAGAGGATATATTCGTAACTTCATTCTCGACTCATCGTAATTCAGTCCGCATGTACGACCCTATTTTCGTCGCAATGATTAAGATCGTCGATTTATTCTATAGATTTATATTCGCGCGAAATGTGCAGTCGTACGTCGCTCGGGGAAAGCTCTCTCAAATGTTCTACGTGACTCATCATTTCTTTCCGCGTAATTCCTACAATTTGTTTCTCAATTTTTCTTCTTGTTGTCCGCCATAAATTTCTAACGCTGCTTTAAACACTAAAGCAACTCGAGAGAGAGATAAACGTCGTCGACCTGAAAATATAATATGCTTATTTCGTCACAGGTTAAACGTTGTTTTATACATATCTCTTTTAGAACTCTAGTGGAAAAATGCGATCTCTTGTACATATCGTGAACTTACTTCGCCGACGACCTCCTTTTGCCCTCATCGTTCGTGTGCCCGCGTCGTCCAATTCCCATCGTCCGCGGTGGCGAGAGAACTGTTCGAGCAAAAGCGACCGGGTAAATATCTTGCAGTGACGGTAAACGAAATTGAATAAACATTTTTCAGCAAATAGAGCCGGCAATGGTATGAATTTAAAAGTCGCTGAGACGAGCACAGGTGGTTCCCCTGTCGCTGGAAAAAGCGCCGAACGGAAAAATTGCATTTCGTCTTCCTCTCTTATCCCTCCTCTTTTCGTATTTCGTTCTTCTCTTGCACATTTATCGCTCTCTCTCTCTCTCTCTGTCACTCCTCTTCCTTTCCTCATCCATCTTTGCTTTTCGCAGTGCGCGAATTACCGCCCGCGTAAACCTTTCACGATCGTCGACGACGATGAGCAGTTTGTGATATAATCGTCTCTCTTGCGTCGGTTATCCTTCGATTCTCACTGCGCGAATTGGTTAATTATAAATGCTAATAATGTAAAAACGCGATATACGTACTTTTTGCGAGATAATGTTTTAACATATCAGACATATAATTTGAATTTCGCGAAAAATTATATCATTTCAATTCTGAATATTAGTTGTATGCAGATGAGCCAAAAATCGCGCGGAAATTGCAATAACGTACATTCAAGTTAATTTTTCTTGCGTTTCTCTTCTCTTTCACAAAAAATAATATAAAAACTTTTACTATACGTATTACTATATATATATTATTAATACATATTAATAATAATGTAATCGTAGAAGTTCAGAGACTTGCATTTTACAAGACGTGTTTCTTTTTAAACACATCCGACCGATAGTAACTTTATAAAAAAATATCGAGTTTTAATTGTGTGTATTAAATGCCTCTCATAAATGCCTTTATCACTTTTCGAAGCATGAGACGGATTTTACGCGCTAACGATCAACGTGATCTTGTATATGCAACGTTTTTCTCGAGCAATCCAATAAACTTAAAGAGGATATGTGGACGATTATTAACAGTAATAAACATATAAATAGGATCTTTTTATATGAGAAAACACTTGTGCGGAGACGCAGGTTCGTAAATAAGTCGTAAAAAAAGGAAAGACCGCAAATCGAGACGAAAGGAAAAGAGATCAGATCCGATTTACGATCAGCAGTCTGGCCTGGCAGTTTGTTCCGCGAGGCGAGATCGTTTCTTCGCCGCAAAGAGAGAGAGAGAGAGAGAGAGAGAGAGAGAGAGAGAGAGAGAGAGAGAGAGAGAGAGAGCGGGGAGCCGATCGAGCGCGACGATCGATCACGCCAAACGATAAATTAGCGTCGAGTTAGTATCTGAGCGTGCTTACCTCGACCGTGTTCGTGTGAATGTGACTGTCGGGAAGTGTCTATGCATGAACCATATATATATGTATATATTGTGCATATTTAGGCGGCTATGAATGCAAATGATCACTAGAGGGTAAATTCTAGGAGATGTTTCGCTATTATGCAAGCAAGTATACCGGATTTGGACTTCTCGTCGCTTTGAGTTTAGATATCTTGCAGCTGCTGCTACCATTGTGTTGCAAACCTTCAAATTCAAATTATTCCCAAACTTTCCAAACAGCATTTCGTTCGAAATTATCGAGAATGTATGTATATGATAGAAACTGGAGAGAAGGGTTATTATACCCATATACATTTCATGCTTCTCGATATTAGAAGATATTTCATCGCTTTTTCCGAAAATATAGATCATTCGCCGGCTTACACATTATGCAAATCATTTTTCCATGAAAGTTTCAAATCCGGCCGTTATTCCGTATCCTTCAAAACCCGAGTCTTAAATCATGCTGAAGAATAAAGGAGGCGGTGTCGCGGATCGGTTGATCTTGCTATGCATTTATGGATGTCGAACGTACGAAGAAAGCAATATTTTCCGCGCAGAATCCATCGACGTTTCTCACGATCCAAAGCGAGCCTGCTATCCCGCAGCCGTCTATCGCTCGTCTCGACTTCTTCTTCTTCTTCTTCTTCTTACTCTTCCCACCCTTCCTTCTCTTTTTCCTGTACTTCCCATAATGGTGGAGTCTGCCATGACCGTCGATTATTGTCCTCGTTGGAAAGCTCCAGGTGACCGAGTGCAAGTACACAGGAAAACACGTAGCTCGGGAAGTTTCCCGCGATTTCCCCCAGGGCCCTCGAATAATTCTACGTCGAAAGTCCTTCTGGAATTCAACCGTCTTTCTTAGGACGTCGAAGCAGTCACGGACGGGGCAACGCCGTTGCCCGGATTCTCACAAATTCCGACTGGGAATAAAATTCGTCTGAGTGCATTGAATTCGCTCGACGATATTGCGGAAGCGCGCGCGTCTCTTTTATCATAATGTGGCGCGCGTCAGGCACATTCGCCGAACTGTTTCAATTGCGAACGCACTGTCAATAATAAAGTGATATATATCGCGACACACGGGGAGGTTAATGACCAAGTAATCACTTAGCGTTCTTTTGAGGAAACTAGTGTAAGTAATCGAATCTTCGTTTTTTTTTCCTTTCAGAACCCAGTCGAGCACGAAAGTGTTGGAGCACGACGTTCCTGAGCTCCGAGAGAAACCTGGAAGACGTGCGATTTATTTACATGCGGCGACCGCAGGCGCTCGCGGAACGTGATAAACACAAGTAAACTTACAGTTTCGACTTCGGGGCATGCTAATCGGCTTTTTGAAGTGCGAAAAGTACGATTCTGTCTAAAGAGAGTCGCCGTGGCCGCTCGACGGTGAATCAAAACGGTGCGGAAATTTGTCGAGAACGAAGAGAGGATAAAATTGGAAAAAAAGCCACGGTCGGAAACATTCAGTCAACGCGAGAACCGGCGGCACCGTCGCGAAGCGACGGACGTACGTCGTGCGTACTTATTACGGAAATCCGGTTTGTTGGAATGAGGCTTTGAAGTTTTCATCGTTCGCCGACGAATCGTCTTCCATTGCTATTCGTTTTTTTTTTTTTTTTTTTTTTTTATTGTTTTTTGCGCCCGGAACCGAGGAGAGGATGGAAAAGCGGAAAACTGAGTGGCTTCGTATTCAAACGGTAAGGAAAAAGTTTAAGTGACTCATACAGACTCTTTCGAAAATTCTCTCTTTCTTTCTGTGTTCTTTCTTTAAGTTTCTATTTTTCCGATGAGAGCGAAAAATACAGAGAGGAGTCGTGGAAAGGAGAAGGAGAAGAGATTAACAGCTCCCTCGCTTTCTCGAAGACGTTATTTTTCATCCGTTTTCACGTGCAGCGAGGCGATGCATTAGTTGGCACGAAGTACCATTCGTATCGCGATTCGTTTACGAACTTAAATTAAATCGCATAACTCGAGTTGTTCATACTTCTTAAGTCGAATGCCGTGCCGAATAAATGCGCGATGAACGATGATTATTCTTCTCACGTATACATGGTAATAAAAAAAAAGTTTGTTCCGCTTTCGTTATGTTCAAAAAATACAAGATTTTGCAAATTGCTGCTTAGCAACAAACTGTAGATACTGTGAGTTGTTTATCTTTACTGACGTAAACGAAACTTTATAGCTTGCTTTATAATTGCAATAAAAAAATAATGTTAAAATAAAAGAGACATGTACGGGCTAAAGTGAGTTTAACGATATACTCTTCATTATTAATATCTTCTTTTTTGCGAGAAAATATTTTTTTCTACGCGCGCGCGCGCGAGCGCGCGGTGTCGGTTTTATGGTCGGCAACAAAAGAGGTTTCAAGAGGTAACTAATATCGCGGAACATATTTCGCGAGCATCGATTTTCTCTATAGAATTCCAATCCACATTCCAGCCCGAGCGTTCCCGCTATGAAAAAATGACGGAAGTGTCCGCATCACGTACGATCGAGCGTCCCTTCGCCGCCGACGGGAAATCCTTACTCGAGGGTATCATCCAGTCGAGCGATTTCGACCGCGCGTCGTAATAAGAAATCGACAGTGACAAAAATCAAAGTGACACGCGCCGAATGACGCGAGCGAATTTGAAGAAGACGAGCAAAGAAGTGCGAAATCCGTCCCCTTATAGAGATTGCGTTATAGAAACTGCGAGAAGCGGCAGTCATGTATTCGCGGAGATTGAGTCTACGAAATTCTAGTACACGTGTACGAAGAAAACTCTATTACGAAATTTCATTCCTTCAGATAGTATTGCTTAGTCATTGCGAAGTATGATAACTCGATGTGTTACTTTACGCACACGAGTGTGATGAACGAACGAGTGTGACCGACTGTATCATCGCGAACTATGATATTCCGAAATAAATTTCCGCGTACGATTGTAGTGAAATAAAAAAAAACAAAAAAAAAAACAAAAAAAAAAAACAAATGTGGCCGAGTAGCCGAAGTGGACGAACAGTGCGTTTTTGAACACGCGCATCTCACGTGAAGCGTTTGACATGTCACCCGACGCGAGATCATCATTTCGGTGAGAACGGAAGAGAAAGTACTGCGATACTCTGTAGTAAAACCAAAAAAAAAAAAAAAAGAAAAATTGTCAATTGTGAACTCTACTAGCGCGAAATCAAGCGGCGAGTGGCAGATGCATGCGCACGACGACGTATCCGACGGCAAACGCGGCGGCAGGACCCGGTGACTCTGCGGAGACAGGAAATAGAGAGAATGGAGAAGGACAACGTCAGACATTACAGAGCTTACGAGGGCTTCAAGCCAGCGAATAACGGCAATACCTCGTCTCTGAAGAGATCGACATCGGAACGCTCGAAGACGCATCCGTCTCGCCAAGTGAGATGTCTGTGCTTCGGGGGCGTGCCGGACAAGGCCAGCCAGCACTCTTTCTGCAAAGGATTTCTGATAAATCTTGCAATATGTACCGGTCTGGTGGCCTACACCGTAGTGGGAAGCTTAATCTTCCTGGGTATCGAGGGCGGGGCCGATATCGGTCCGCAACAGAGAACTCTCGCCACGACGATAGCTGGAAATCAGCATACCAAGAGAAACACCACCGCTTGGCTCAAACAAGTAAGAGAACAGCATCGCTTTTCGTATACGTAAATGTAATATTTTATTTCAGTTTTGTTTTTTTTTTTTACGTTTTATCTCTCTTTGATTTTTCGCACGCAAATTTCGCAACGCGATAGAATCATAAGAAATGTGACAAATGAGATAAACAGCTTTGTCGATAGCTCTGTTGAGTACGTTACGATTGTCGTTGCGAGTATCGCGGACATGAGCACGCGAACTTTTAGTTTTTGCTTTTCTTTTCCACGAGAAGTAACAAACAGTTCCGGCGGCACCAGTCTCTCGATTTATCGTCACGTCTCCGGTTTCATTCCGCTTTTCTACCTGAGGTGACCTCACTGAACCCGAAGTCAATCGAATTATCGGTGCGTTCTGGCGCGAGCGCTCGTTTCAACGAAGTTTTATCGATCGTGCTTCCTTTCCTCTATCCTTACCCTTTAAAGGAAAAGCGTATTCCCCGAGGACACTAGTACAAAGGACTGCTGTCTGTTGCTTCCGGCCAATAATAGCGACAACGGATTGTTGTCCCGATAGCGATCATTCATTGACAAGAAACTGAATATTCCTCGTGTTCCTCTTATCAAGTTTTATTGTCGCGATCTCCGCTGAAGAAAAGATTTGCTCGGATTACTATTCCCGATTGTGTTTCTTTTCTCCACGTGAAATTTCAGAATCACTTGGATGTTGAAGCACATTAAGAGATTGTAAATAAAATAAGTCGTTATTGTGTGTTTACGATATAAATCGTGAAACTCGTTGCGTGTTTCAATGTTTCAATTACTCAACATGAGAATTTAATTAATGTCAGTTGTAAGTTATAACTCCATAATCACGTGCCACACACACACACACACACACACACACACACAAACTATAAACTTTCTCTAAAGCATCTGACAATATATTTCAAATGTCGTCTAATTACGAACTTTCTGTGTGACGAAGCTTAATCGCGAGGCTCGAGCTAAGACCGTGGAGAACATATGGATAATCACGGAAGAGTTGAACGTTCTCTATCGCGAGAACTGGACGAGGTTGGCTGATCAGGAGATCGCGCGGTTTCAGGACCAACTAGTGAAAAGGATCACGGAGGACATGATGGCGACCCAGAATGCCGGAACGTACACCAAGAGCTCCGCGAGCGAGACCGTAACGGAACGCCGCGTGCCGGATTACGAATGGAACTTTGCAAAGGCGTTCCTCTATTCTCTGACAGTTCTCACTACTATCGGTAAGTTCTAAATGTAATTAATTAATTATTCCACGTCGCCATTTTCGCTCTGCGTTCTAGCGCGCGCCGAATTCTTGTAAACGTCGAATTCTCGTAATAGGAATCTAACAAGGCAAAGGATCTTTAGGATAATGAAATCTGATATTGTAGTGTGTTACAGGAGATGTAACAGAAAGTTGATCTGTTTCTTCCAATATATAAGTTAGATATATATATATATATATTTTCTTGAAACATTTTTTTTATTCTCGCGCTTACAGTTCGCACAGAACGCGATGATAATATTGAATTTCCATTTGTGCGTGTAATGTTGCTGATTTATCAAGAGTCTCTCGTGCAAGAGATAATATTTTTAATGCGTTAACGGCCACAGAAAGTACGTATCTAAGTCGTAAATCGCAAGATGTTTACGGCAGTTGTTGTAACAGTGCGATAAGCAACGGCATACAATCATTATCAGCGTCGTAACTACAAAGTGTGCGCGGATGATGTTTACCTCCCATCCTCCGTTCGCGCGATTCCCCTTTATGCACAAGCAGTGTGTGTACGTAGGTACGAAGCTTACGCGCGAAAGGCTGGCGCAGCAGAATATTTGTATGTAATTAGTAGGCAAGTGGAGAGAGAAGAGAACGGGCGGAGACGAACACTGCGGAAAGACATCTGCGCGAAGGCAGATAATTACTTAAATCAAATATAGCACGTCAATTAATTCGCCCCGTTAACCCCGGAGAAATAATTGTGTAGCTGTGATGTCGCGTGTCGATAATTCTCAGGTAGATTTCTAAAATTTGCGCGTCAGGCACACACGCGTCTGTATACGCTCAAACAATTTGTAAATCAAATTTTCTTCACTCTCTTTATCGATAATCGATAGTTTGGAGAGCAAACCATTCACATACGTAACAAATTTAGTATCTTCTCGTTCAATCGTGTTTTTTTTTTGTTTATCAAGACAAATGCGATTGTTGGAGTTTTTCTGAAATTCTGCGGTGACTTTTACAGAAAAATCCGATTATACAACAAATCGCGAATGAGGCAAAGAAAAACAGTATTTGATCAAATAGATTTTTTTTTAAATTTTTTATTCAGACCAAATAACATTGATTGGAACAAATTCCGCGGTTTACAAAAACAAAAACTAAAAATAAAATAAATCGTTATTAAAAACCAAAAAAAAATAAAAAAAATAAAAAAAACGGAACAAAAAGAACAATATAGCGAGCATCAATTTTCGGAGCAAACAAAATACGACATTAGCACGTATAATGACCGCGTTCCGCCAATGCAAATCTGTTGTCCGTTACGAGGACATCGGCTTGCTGCACTTTCCGACGATATTCCCGACAATTTCATTGCTTCCGACTTAGTGGCGCTCGAAGCAAGTGACGTCACGTCCGATCGTTTACTCTAGTTATTACTGAAACGGATTGGAACTTCATGAGTCGGTGGATATTTGAAAAAAAAGAAGGAAATAATGACCAGCGACATTGAGCGGCTTATCGCATTATCGATAGGTTGCTCGATACAGATATATTTTCTTTTTTTTTTTTTTTTTTATATCTACTTATAACTGAATCGCCCGAGACAATCTTGGTTGATGGTAACAGCCGTGCGTGCTGTAATCATTATATTTTAGTTGATGTAATCAAGGTTTGTTACTTTTTTATTTTTCTCATTATTGTATTTTACTAACAATAAGAGAAATAAATAATAAAACGGATACTTTACGAACAATTGTAAATATTATATTTGTTTTATATTGGTTACTTGTTAATTTTACTGTTATATTTCACGGATCAGAGAGAAGCGGAGTAAGAAACATTTTAAATCGAGCTTAAAACTAATCGTCGGGCATAATTTTTAAGCAACTTCCGTTTTGTTTATACGGAACGCGCACTAAATCCATTTCAAGCTCTCTCTCTCTCGACAATTTACTCCTCGTGTAATTACGGGGAAAACATACAATGACTACGGAACTCGCGCTACGCGTACATATCGTTTTTACCGAGATTTAATCACACGAACTGTACCGCCGCGCGTGGCCAGATTCTGGTAAATTAATATTTCGTAAGCCCCACGTCAGTTTCTGCGTATACAGAGGGTGGGCATATACGATTGATCGTCTGCTACGAAATACGTAAAATCCCTAGGGTCGTGTGATACAGCATTCGCAATTTTCGCCGGCATTGTATATAGAGTGGGCGTAATACGCGCGGAGGTGTAATCGCGGCGGGGAAACACGCGCGTGTGTCTCATGAATTTTAATATAAATTTTAGCGTGACTGAGAGTTTTTTTTTTTTGTGTTTTTCGTCTATCGTCCGTGGGTAATGCGTCGACCATTCGTGAATATAGCTCGTCGTTAAGCGAGATCGGTAGTTATTACTCGGCGAAAAAAAAATCACATTACTTTTGATATCGAGGCGAGAGTAATCCATTCTCGCGGTCTCTAGGCGTTAGCTATTGCAATTTGTTGCGTAACCATGACCTCGCGCAATACTACACCGTCTCTGCTGCGAAAGCCATCGTTAGCAACAGACTCGATAATGGAACAGCGTCTGATGGATACGCAGACTCGGGTTGTAGGAAATTAATCTGTACCCCCGGTGAAGTTCGTTCTCGTCTTGCCACACGCTGACCGTTTCTACTTCTTCCGTATCTCGTTTCGCAAATGAAAAACCGTTTGGTTTGCTGTCTCTGGGTTTTTTTTTTTTTTTTTTTTTTTTTTTTACACAGGCGCGAACGTACTGCTATACTGTCTGTCGTTGGTCGTGGTGTTTGCTTTTTCTTTTTTTTTTTTTTTTGCGCAGCATTGCACGGTAGTTAATTACGGGAAGTATCCCGGTACTTTTTATCGGCTTGTCCAAGCACGAAAATATTGTTCACCGAGTCAACCATGTGCCGGTTGGTAGGGAAACTTTGTACGGGCATAATACTAAGCGGATGCTATCATTCGTAACTTTTCGCGAGCAAAAAATAACCGACATATCAGTCGGAGAAATGAGAGGAAAACTTTTTTGTGACAATGCACGTTTGTACGCGTATATTTGTATGGCCACAAAATTAAGCGTAGAAAATCAGCTCAAAATGAATGAACTTTTAATTAGGACGTATAATAATTGAAAAGCAAAAGTTTTGTGTGTGTAATCAAGTTAATTCTACATTCTCTTCTTATACGCGCGTAAACACATAGATAGAAAATATTCGTAAATTAAAGACTTACAAACTTTGTATATTAAGAGGGCAATATCAGTAGGTGATAGAAAGAGAGAGAGAGAGAAAGAATGTGTATCTGTGTGTGTGTGTGTGTTATTAGTAAAACTTTAAACTATACACACATATTATTATATAAGAAAATTTATGGAATTTTACGAAAGAAACGTAAGAAAAATATCCTACTTTGAATTCACTTCTAGATAGTTCCTCGAAAGAGACGTAACTATTTATGCGAAGGCAACAAAGTTGCGCAGACAGTCAATGTTTTAGAACCTCTTAACCCCTTTTGATTTTATATTCTTCGAGTCTGCGATAGACGTTCACGCTCTTTTCTACTTTACTCCACGCTCCGTACACCTCCCGCGCTACGATTCCTATCTCCAACTCCGGTGGCGCATAATTCAGTTTACGTATCGCAGGAGACGAATCATCCGTTTGCATTTCACGATATGAGGTCGCATGAATATTTGGCCGCTTGCCTCTCCACGGGCAAGAGTTGCGTATTCAGAAAATAGTTTCGAGCACCATAGCGGCTGGACGGCAACCAAGAAGTAACACGGCTCTCTCTATCTCTCTCTCTCTCCAGGAATTGGGCTATATCTTCCTAAAGGATATTCCTAAGAGATATTCCTCGCTTGATCTACTTATGTATCCCTAATCCGCGTTATCCTCAGTGTGCGCGGCGCGTATACAAATTTTACGTATATATAAGCCGTCTTTCTGGCGCATTACCTTATTTGTTCGCAATCGATGTCTATCATTTATGACGGAATCGATGTCTATTGTGAAAGCGGAGAAATATAAATACACCATAACGCATATGTATACGTGTATGTGTATGTGTGTATTTTTGTTTACTTTGATTCTCTCTCTCTCTTAGTTGTCGGAAATTTTTGATGTGTTATTCGGAGCTAAATGTAACATGACTGATCGCTTCTTTCAAAATCGATATCATGCGAAACGAATTTTTAAGAGAAAAATAAGCGAACGCAAAAATATCATATAAATAACAATATTTCACTTCTTTTCAAAACAAAGCACTCGCGTGTGTGTGTGTGTGTGTATTGTAAATACGTGCGCATATGTGTACGTATTTATTTTTGACGTTTATATTGCTTTGGCTGAAACAATCCACAGATGAAGGTTCCATTAATCATCTCGAATGATTACTCTCGCAACATTCCACGGTATATTCATGCGCGCGCCGCAAAAGATACACACACACACACACAAACCTATATGTTCATATGTGTTTGTGCAATGTGAGACAGTAAGCTTTATTTCACAATGGCGCAACGTTCTCTTGTTGTCGGACGTACACCGCTATCTTTTTTGTATATATTTCCTTTTATGTTTCCATTCGGAGTTGTCGCAACAACGGATTGACCGAGGAAAGAGCAGACGCGATTTTGCGTCGTCTTAATGACGACGGAATGAAGGAAGTGGTGAATTTTAATCAGAAGATTAATCCCGTCGCCCTCTAATGGATTGCAAGACGCGAGAAGGGATGCCGACTAATCACAATTTGTCGCTCGTTTCGGTGATGCTGCGTCGCACCCTTTCCCCCAATTGGTTTGAGCTTGTTCCGTTCGTAGTATAAACGTCTGAACTTTGTGTATTAACTTTACGTCGAAGTGTGTTTGCGCAAACACGTAGAATCGAATTCGAATAGATTAATTTCCCGGAGTAAAACGGGACGACCGAAACAAAAAATAGGGGAAAAAAAACTGTTACTGCAAAATTATCCCGAAATATAAGAGATTTGCAAAGTTGCTGAAAAATTCTT